ATATGAATTTTTTTAATAAAAATGCTTCGTTTCACAAATTTAATGAAATTCTAGAATCTTTCGACCTAGCGCAAGTTATTGATGTTCCAACAAGAGTAACTAAATCTTCTTCGACTTTACTTGACTATGCTATAGCTAGGAGGGAAAACTTGGTGGATAAGGGTATCATTCATCATACAATCTCGGATCACTCCTTAATTTTTTGTAAAATTAATGTTAAAGAACAAAAGGAACCTAAAATGTATACCTACAGATCATTTAAAAATTTTGATGAAGATAAATTTCAAAATGATTTAACAAGTACATCATTTTTTCGCATTTTTGATCAAGATACTGTCGATGAAAAGGTGTCATATCTTGTAAATTGTCTAGTTTCTATACTTGATAGACATGCTCCCTTAGTTACCTCCAGATTTACAAAAAAGAAAGCTTCATGGCTAACTTTCACTATAAGGCAAATGATGAATGAAAGGGACAAGGCATTAAAAAAATATAAACGTACAAAATTGGAAGGTCACTTACAATTTTATAAAAACCTTAAAAATTACACAAATCAAGCTATAAAAAGAGAAAGAAGAGCTTACTTCTTACATCAATTTAGTAAGTGTACTAATAAAGAAATATGGCACACTTTAAAATCTAATAATTTTGTCAAAAATAAAAATCAAGATATTCCCGAAAATTTAAAAAATCCTAACCACATTAATAATTTTTTAGTGAACTCAATTTCAAATATTATTCCGCCCCAGAAGTTATTAAACTTTTATAATACTAATAATGTTGTACCTTGTACATTTAAATTCAGAGAAGTTGACGAAACATTTATATTTACCAGTATTTGCAAAATGAAATCAAATGCGATAGGCTGTGATCATTTGAACAGTAAGTTTGTTAAATTATGCTGTCCGCATATTGTTCCATACATTACGCATATTATCAATTTTTGCCTTTTAAACAATGTTGTGCCTACTGTCTGGAAAAAAGCAATTGTAAAAGTGATACCCAAAAAACAAAACCCAACTGAGTATAAAGACCTTAGGGGGATCAGCATTTTACCAATGCTATCCAAAATTTTAGAAAAAGCAGTGGAAAAGCAAATAACAGAACATTTATCAAATAACTCATTGTTGCCCCCTGTTCAATCAGGTTTTCGCAGAGGGTATAGCTGTACAACAGCACTTCTGGAAATATTAGATGATATCATTACTGCAACTGACAAAGGGCATTGTACTATCTTAACTCTATTAGATTTTAGTAGAGCTTTCGATACGATAAATCATAATTTATTATTAAGCATCTTGCATTATATAGGTTTTGCTGACAACGCTATATTATTTATTAAAGATTTTTTGGAAAATCGCAAACAATGTGTTAAAATCGATGAACATAAATCAGAATTTTTAAATCTTCACTCAGGCGTACCCCAAGGTTCCATTTTAGGCCCTCTGCTTTTTTAAATATACACTTCGAACCTTATTAATTCTTTAGAAAACTGTAAAATTCACCTATATGCCGATGACACTCAGATTTATTACAGTTTCCCTCCAGATCTATCACAAAATGCGTGTGAGATAATTAATCGTGATTTGAATTCTTTTGTTGGATCAGCAACTGAGCACTGTTTACTAATTAATGCTTCAAAATCTAATGTGATGTTGTTTGGATCAAGTCGTAATCGTGACAAAATTATTGAAGAATTAGGTATTGAAATTAATAATGATAGACTAACCATAGTAAATGAAGCTAAAAACTTAGGAGTTTTAATTGATTCTGAATTAAGGTTTGAAAAACACATCACTAAATTGATTCAGAGAGCTTATAGCTCATTAAAATTGATATACGGTAATCGTAAGTTGTTGTCTAAAAGTATTAAAATATCACTATGTGAATCACTTGTACTATCAAATTTTAATTTTGCTGATTCTGTCTATGGTCCAAATTTAACAGTAACCTTCAAAAAAAAAAAAAAATACAAAAAATACAAAACAGTTGCTTAAGACTCATATACGGTATAAGAAAATATCAAAGGATATCACATAAACTCAAAGAAATCGGTTGGCTAAATATGGAAAACCGACGAATTCATCATGCAACTACGCTATACCACAAAATTGTCTTGTATAAAATCCCCATTTATCTTTACAAAAAAATATCCTTTAGGACAGATGTTCACAACTTAAATTTAAGATTCAAAGGTCTACTATCACCACCTCAATTTAGATCCGAACTATTTAGACGTTCGTTTTCATATCAAATTTTTCAATTGTATAATTCTGTTCCTATTATATTTAAAAATCTTAACCCTCTTACTTTCAAATGTAAATACAAAACCTTGTTATTTAGCAAGCAATGCACTTAAATCGTAATTGTTCTACCTGTCCCCTCTAAAATATAAAAATATAGTTTTTTGTTTTTATTTTGATTTTTCAATATGTTTAGATTTAGTTCATATACCTACTCGTATTTACATATGTATATAAACACCATCATTGGGTTAAGTGGAAGAACATTTTCCAAGTGTTTTTTTTAAACTTTGGAAAGTGAACTTCGCCTTTTGTTTTCTTTAATAAACTATTAGTAATATTAATTAATTTTGTAAAATGCTGTAATGAAAACAATAAAGACCTTTATTATTATTATTATTATTATTATTAAATACATGCAATATTGTGTGTACGAGAAAATTTAAGAAGGAAGTACAAAAAACAAACCATCCTAATTCTCTCAGATAGCCAGGCAGCTTTAAAGGCTCTTGATTCAAACAGAATTAAGTCAAAGCTTGTCTGGAACTGCCTTGGAATACTAAATGATCTGGCAACCCACAACAAGGTAAAACTGGCGTGGATACCAGGGCACAAAGGTATCCAAGGAAATGAAAAGGCTGATGAACTCGCCAAAGAGGGATCAGATCTACCATTCACAGGTACCCGAACCTGTATTTGGGATAAGCAAAACTCTACTCGACAGGCAGTAAACAGGTGGATAGCCATAAAACACCAAATTCTCTGGCAACAGATAAGAGGGCACAGAATCAGTAAGCTCATGCTAAGGGGACCAAACCCACGCATGACTACTGAGGCCACTACAACTCGCGAGGCCTCAGATATCCAATATTGTGGGATTATTAACGGGGTACTGCTTGCTGAAACACCTTCATGTAATGGGATTACACAATGATCCCACAACGTGCAGACTTTGCATGGAAGAGGAAGAAACCTCATACCATGTGATCTTCTAATGCGAAGCTCTTACTGGGCGACGTTTCATCCTTTTCGGCCTAGAACCGGAAAGAACGCCCCAGGAACACTCGGTAGGGAACCTATTAAAACTAACTAAAGACAAAGGACTATTCCAAAGATAGTACCTGAATACGGGGAAAGCAGGGGAATACAATAGACCCAAGAGGCCGCAGTGTTCTGGACCAAACCTAACCCTACCTGCTTACAACCGATAAAGATCCCAAAATGTACGCGGGTAAAGAGAGAAACTCGGTGCTCGGGGTTTTTTGGGTTGCTGAATTTAAATATAACATCGGCGAAGACCTCCTGGACACTTGGAACCAGTACGTGGACTCATTTCCGAGAAACTTCTTGCCAAAAACAAGCCAAAAAACCTTGTAGGGGTATTTTTTGGGGCCATTGATCCAAATTTCACGTCGAAAACGATCCTCGAACACCTAGTGCACTGAAACGTCGTCTCCGAGGGTTCTCCAGATACAAACGCTAAAGACAAACCGAAAATCGTCATGGGGGTTTTTAGGTACATGGAATCCGAATTCCATCATGAAAACGTACCTCCGAAGACCTTGTTTACCGGAACTCCGGCCTGAACGTCATCTCACACAATCGAGACTACTGTGTCTTATTAGAGATCCCTGTATACCTCACTGGATGTATATACTTCTGCATGAGGAAGTTAAGTTGAAGACTCTATACAATCGAGTGTAGAGGAATACATGAGTAAAGGATAGACGCATTAAAATCCGCGAAAACTATCACATAGGATTAATTCTTGAATTAAGGCCGTAACCGAGCATGATGAAACTTTCTCGGCGTCATTTCTATTCGCAGAGTAGAACATTGGATTCACTCAATTTTCATTACTACGTCCCAAATGCGACTTTCCGGCCCTTAAGGGGTCGTTTTCATGGTCCCAAAGGGGGAATTCCAGTTGGCCATAAACTTTTCGAACAGTCTGCGAGTTCGAGAACTAGGGTATAAATAGGGACATAAAAATACCACTGTAACGATTGCAACGTTCGAAACACGATTTTTTGGCCCCTAAGAGGCCATTTTCCGGTCCTAAACGGAGAATTACAGTTGGCCATAAACTTTTAGAGCACGGCATTCATTCCAGAATTCAAAAGTACATAAAAATACCACCAATGTCACTGCAACGTTCAAAACACGATTTTCCGGCCTCTGCAGGTCCATTTTCCGGGCCCGCATGGGGAATTCCAGTTGTCCTTGAACTTTTCGACCACAAACATGACTTTGGCTTTAGAATGCACCTTCAACCACGTCTCATCTCAGAATCCACCTTTCAGGCCATATAGATGCCTTTTTTTGGCCCCTGGGGTCAATTCCAGACGTGGAGGGCCATTTCTGAGCTCGGCATCGGATTCAGCGTCGAAAAATACATACGACCGCCAAGTCTGAACATTTTTTTTATTTGTGGGGCTGTGTTATTTAACCATAAACTTATCTTTATCTTGGCCGTTTCTCTATAAAGTTTAACCTCTTCTCCAGCGAACATAATTACTGTGTCGTCCATCAGTTTTTGTACTCTTATTCATATAGAGAAGAAACGAAATTGGACACAATACTGTTCCTTGTGGGACTACCATCTTTACTATTGATTTAGAACTTATAAATATATTAATTTATCCTGTTTTACAATAATCCTTACTAGACAAAATAAACAGCAACAGATATAGCACTTTCGGCATATTTCCTTTTTTCTCGAATTAAACAGAAGAACTGCATATAAAAACATTTATACTTAGATTTATTGATAAAACAAATATATCTATAATAAAAATAACGTATTATTCCATATTGAACACGCTTTTCTTTGATTTTTTTGTTGCATCTTCTTCCGGTTTAAAATGATTTGCTGTTCTTTTTCTAATATCATCAACTCCTTCTTCTGTTGCTGCCCACTCCAGAACTAAACGCCTACCATACAAATGGGTACTTTGGGATAGGGCTTCAAAAGCAGCCTTGAAAAATATATTAAAAATTAAAGGTATGTAAGGAAATGTATATTTTGTCATGTAAGACTGAATCTTTATCAATCTAACCTCACCTTTGCATCAGATGTTGTTGTATAATCAATAAAAGCAAATCCTCTGTGACTGTCTGACCCAACGCCGCCCATTTTCTTAGGTAACCTTAAGGCTCGTATTTCTCCAAAAGTACTAAAAAATACATATCTTCCCTTTATATACAGCAATAATAAAAAAAGATACATATAGAAGTTAACTTACCTAAAGAGCTCCTGAATTTCTTTTTTACTAGCTTGGAATGGCACATTTCTAACTAATATCTTGGAACCAGTCTGTTTTTTTAGTTTACTCTCTTTTCTAGTAGTTTGAACTTCATTTCTACAAAAAAAGTTACATCAGAGTTATAGGTATATGTGAATATGTTATAATTAAATTATCTTTGCTAAATAATCATTTTTCGTTCATAAATAGAGATAGAACCTTATTATTGTTGTTATTTGAGGTAACTTTAATCTAGAGTCGCCTTAAATTATCATTTAATAAAAAATAAATGGAATTTATAACTGGCGCAGTCAGTAGGATACACACGAGTCAAGTTTAATTGATACAGCTGTTGCTGGATATTAATTTTTCGTGACTTTGGAGTTTTTATTCCTTAAGAGTGGTTCCTAATGAAGAATTGGTCGACGTCATCCTTTCTCTGACCAACGTCTAACCCCCCCGTAGAATAATCGTCGGTGGGACAGCCGAAACAAGTATTAGAATATTATTGAAGAAAATAATAAATGCCAAATGTCTTTTAATTTTCTTCTTCTATAATTTACTCAACGAAAAAGTATTTAATGAATATTTGTGTAAATCATAACACTTACTTCATAGTTCGTTCTGATCTCTTTAATTCCAAAGATTTTCCATCTAAAACACTTTGCTGCATGCTTTTTAAAGCCTTATCGGCGCTGGATTTATAAATAAATCTAATAAAACCGTAACCCATTGACAGAGTGTTGTTTGGATCTTTTGGATCCTTCTTTGTAGCCACATTTGCATAATGAATCTTTCCACAGCCAATGAAATGCTAAAATTTAAATACAAATTAAATAATGTGCTTGCCTACTATTGGTTAAATTATATCTGTAGTATTATCAGCACAAAAATGCAAGGACACATTCTGAATCGTTCATATAAAGCACTGTTAAATATTAAAATAGGAAGCATATATGCAACTGGAGGAGTTAGCGAACCAATAATATGCAGAAAGACAATATACTAATCTACAATTATGAAGTTAGAAAGTTTATTGAAGAAATATTTAAGACACAAATAATCTAAAAGAGCTATTTTAGATGCTATTATCCTACATGACTTTTGGAGGATTACTTTGTAATAACTTAAATTGATATGGTACAAAAGATTAGCAGTGGAAATTTTCACACTAAAAGTAAGTAGACTCTACTGATAGCCATTAAGTAGAGAATATGAAAGTTAGGAGAAAATTGAAAAGCAGAGAAAAATGTATATATTTCAAGTTTCTATACATAATCGTTTGGAAACACGAAAACTTACTGAAAATATTGAATTTGGAATTCATTTTTCGGATTTTCCAGCTGTATGGAGAACTTAAATAATATTATATGTATATATTAACAACGATTAAAATGAACTAGGGAAACGTAATTAGTAGATGTTATAAGAACGTGTATATTATACATTTTTAATATATTTATTTTAAATGCAAAAGTTAGGAGAAAATTGAAAAGTAGATGAAAATGTATAGTGTGGCAATTTAAAAACTTACAATGCTTAAAACCGTTTCTAGGATAGGAAGGGGGAACTAAAATGTCATAAAAGACAACTCACAAATTTGTAGTTCAACAAAATCTTTAATTTTTCCTTTTAATGCAAAGTTTCACAATTATTGATTGATCCTGTACAATTATTATTTATACCATCGTATAGCATTTCTATAGGATTTTCAATGATGTATCACAAATTTGTTATTTAAACTTTTTTAGTTTAAGTGGAGATTAGGGGGTTGATGGGGGTAAATTCTATTTTATGTCATTTTAGTTGCCTCTTTCTATCTTAGAAACGATTTTATACTTTTATTGATATCATCTTTCGTTTGTGAGTTTTAAATTGTCACGTATATTTCAAGTTTCTATAGATAATCGGTTGGAAACACGAAAACTTACTGGAAATTTTGAATTTGGAATCAATTGTTCGGTTTTTTCAGCTGTTAGAAAGTATGGAGAACTTAATTATATATGAACATATTACATATCAACATTTGAAATGAACTGGGGAACATTATTAGTTGATGGTATAAGAGCATGTACATTATAATATTTTAATATATTAGTTTTAAATGCAAAAGTAAGTAGAAAATTTAAAAGTAGATAATAATGTATAGTGTGGCAATTTAAATACTTACAATGCTTAAAACCGTTTCTAGGATAGGAAGGGGGAACTAAAATGACATAAAAGACAACTCAAAAATTTGTAGTTCAACAAAAACTTTAACTTTTCCTTTTAATGCAAAGTTTCACAATTATTGATTCACCCTGTACAATTATTATTCATACCATCGTATAGCATTTCTATAGGATTTTCAATGATGTATCACAAATAGGGATTTGTTATTTAAACTTTTTTAGTTTGATTAAGTGGAGATTAGGGGGTTGATGGGGGTAAATTCTATTTTATGTCATTTTAGTTGCCTCTTTCTATCTTAGAAACGATTTTATGCTTTTATTGATATCATCTTTCGTTTGTGAGTTTTAAATTGTCACGTATATTTCAAGTTTCTATAGATAATCGGTTGGAAACACGAAAACTTACTGGAAATTTTGAATTTGGAATCAATTGTTCGGATTTTTCAGCTGTTAGAAAGTATGGAGAACTTAATTATATATGAACATATTACATATCAACATTTGAAATGAACTGGGGAACATTATTAGTTGATGGTATAAGAGCATGTACATTATAATATTTTAATATATTAGTTTTAAATGCAAAAGTTAGTAGAAAATTTAAAAGTAGATAATAATGTATAGTGTGGCAATTTAAATACTTACAATGCTTAAAACCGTTTCTAGGATAGGAAGGGGGAACTAAAATGACATAAAAGACAACTCAAAAATTTGTAGTTCAACAAAAACTTTAACTTTTCCTTTTAATGCAAAGTTTCACAATTATTGATTCACCCTGTACAATTATTATTCATACCATCGTATAGCATTTCTATAGGAGTTTCAATGATGTATCACAAATAGGGATTTGTTATTTAAACTTTTTTAGTTTGATTAAGTGGAGATTAGAGGGTTGATGGGGGTAAATTCTATTTTATGTCATTTTAGTTGCCTCTTTCTATCTTAGAAACGATTTTATTTTATTGATATCATCTTTCGTTTGTGAGTTTAAAATTGTCACGTATATTTCAAGTTTCTATAGATAATCGGTTGGAAACACGAAAACTTACTGGACATTTTGAATTTGGAATCAATTGTTCGGATTTTTCAGCTGTTAGAATGTATGGAGAACTTAATTATATATGAACATATTACATATCAACATTTGAAATGAACTGGGGAACATTATTAGTTGATGGTATAAGAGCATGTACATTATAATATTTTAATATATTAGTTTTAAATGCAAAAGTTAGGAGACAATTGAAAAGTAGATGAAAATGTATAGTGCGGCAATTTAAAAACTTACAATGCTTAAAACCGTTTCTAGGATAGGAAGGGGGAACTAAAATGTCATAAAAGACAACTCACAAATTTGTAGTTCAACAAAATCTTGAATTTTTCCTTTTAATGCAAAGTTTCACAATTATTGATTCACCCTGTACAATTATTATTCATACCATCGTATAGCATTTCTATAGGATTTTCAATGATGTATCACAAATAGGGATTTGTTATTTAATCTTTTTTAGTTTGATTAAGTGGAGATTAGGGGTTTGATGGGGGTAAATTCTATTTTATGTCATTTTAGTTGCCTCTTTCTATCTTAGAAACGATTTTATGCTTTTATTGATATCATCTTTCGTTTGTGAGTTTTAAATTGCCACGCATATTTCAAGTTTCTATAGATAATCGGTTGGAAACACGAAAACTTACTGGAAATTTTGAATTTGGAATCAATTGTTCGGATTTTTCAGCTGTTAGAATGTATGGAGAACTTAATTATATATGAACATATTACATATCAACATTTGAAATGAACTGGGGAACATTATTAGTTGATGGTATAAGAGCATGTACATTATAATATTTTAATATATTAGTTTTAAATGCAAAAGTTAGTAGAAAATTTAAAAGTAGATGATAATGTATAGTGTGGCAATTTAAAAACTTACAATGCTTAAAACCGTTTCTAGGATAGGAAGGGGAAACTAAAATGACATAAAAGACAACTCACAAGTTTGTAGTTCAACAAAAACATTAATTTTTTCTTTTCATGCAAAGTTTTACAATTATTGATTCACCCTGTACAATTATTATTTATACCATTGGAAAACATTTTTATAGACTTTTCAATGATGTATCACAAATAGGGATTTGTTATTTAAACTTTTTTAGTTTGATTAAGTGGAGATTAGGGGTTTGATGGGGGTAAATTCTATTTTATGTCATTTTAGTTGCCTCTTTCTATCTTAGAAACGATTTTATGCTTTTATTGATATCATCTTTCGTTTGTGAGTTTTAAATTGCCACGTATATTTCAAGTTTCTATAGATAATCGGTTGGAAACACGAAAACTTAATGGAAATTTTGAATTTGGAATCAATTGTTCGGATTTTTCAGCTGTTAGAATGTATGGAGAACTTAATTATATATGAACATATTACATATCAACATTTGAAATGAACTGGGGAACATTATTAGTTGATGGTATAAGAGCATGTACATTATAATATTTTAATATATTAGTTTTAAATGCAAAAGTTAGGAGAAAATTTAAAAGTAGATGAAAATGTATAGTGTGGCAATTTAAATACTTACAATGCTTAAAACCGTTTCTAGGATAGGAAGGGGGAACTAAAATGACATAAAAGACAACTCAAAAATTTGTAGTTCAACAAAAACTTTAACTTTTCCTTTTAATGCAAAGTTTCACAATTATTGATTCACCCTGTACAATTATTATTCATACCATCGTATAGCATTTCTATAGGATTTTCAATGATGTATCACAAATTTGTTATTTAAACTTTTTTAGTTTGATTAAGTGGAGATTAGGGGGTTGATGGGGGTAAATTCTATTTTATGTCATTTTAGTTGCCTCTTTCTATCTTAGAAACGATTTTATGCTTTTATTGATATCATCTTTCGTTTGTGAGTTTTAAATTGTCACGTATATTTCAAGTTTCTATAGATAATCGGTTGGAAACACGAAAACTTACTGGAAATTTTGAATTTGGAATCAATTGTTCGGATTTTTCAGCTGTTAGAAAGTATGGAGAACTTAATTATATATGAACATATTACATATCAACATTTGAAATGAACTGGGGAACATTATTAGTTGATGGTATAAGAGCATGTACATTATAATATTTTAATATATTAGTTTTAAATGCAAAAGTTAGGAGAAAATTGAAAAGTAGATGAAAATGTATAGTGCGGCAATTTAAAAACTTACAATGCTTAAAACCGTTTCTAGGATAGGAAGGGGGAACTAAAATGACATAAAAGACAACTCACAAATTTGTAGTTCAACAAAAACTTTAACTTTTCCTTTTAATGCAAAGTTTCACAATTATTGATTCACCCTGTACAATTATTATTCATACCATCGTATAGCATTTCTATAGGATTTTCAATGATGTATCACAAATAGGGATTTGTTATTTAAACTTTTTTAGTTTGATTAAGTGGATATTAGGGGGTTGATGGGGGTAAATTCTATTTTATGTCATTTTAGTTACCTCTTTCTATCTTAGAAACGATTTTAAGCTTTTTTTGATATCATCTTTCGCTTGTGAGTTTTAAATTGTCACGCATATTTCAAGTTTCTATAGATAATCGGTTGGAAACACGAAAACTTACTGGAAATTTTGAATTTGGAATTAATTTTTCGGATTTTTCAGCTGTTAGAAATTATGGAGAACTTAATTATATATGAACATATTACATATCAACATTTGAAATGAACTGGGGAACAATATTAGTTGATGGTATAACAGCATGTACATTATAATATTTTAATATATTAGTTTTAAATGCAAAAGTTAGGAGACAATTGAAAAGTAGATGAAAATGTATAGTGCGGCAATTTAAAAACTTAAAATGCTTAAAACCGTTTCTAAGACAGGAAGGGGGAACTAAAGTGACATAAAAGACAACTCACAAATTTGTAGTTCAACAAAATCTTTAATTTTTCCTTTTAATGCAAAGTTTCACAATTATTGATTGATCCTGTACAATTATTATTTATACCATCATATAGCATTTCTATAGGATTTTCAATGATGTATCACAAATTTGTTATTTAAACTTTTTTAGTTTGATTAAGTGGAGATTAGGGGGTTGATGGGGGTAAATTCTATTTTATGTCATTTTAGTTGCCTCTTTCTATCTTAAAAACGATTTTAAGCTTTTTTTGATATCATCTTTCGTTTGTGAGTTTTAAATTGTCACGTATATTTCAAGTTTCTATAGATAATCGGTTGGAAACACGAAAACTTACTGGAAATTTTGAATTTGGAATTAATTTTTCGGATTTTTCAGCTGTTAGAATGTATGGAGAACTTAATTATATATGAACATATTACATATCAACATTTGAAATGAACTGGGGAACATTATTAGTTGATGGTATAAGAGCATGTACATTATAATATTTTAATATATTAGTTTTAAATGCAAAAGTTAGGAGAACATTTAAAAGTAGATGAAAATGTATAGTGTGGCAATTTAAAAACTTACAATGCTTAAAACCGTTTCTAAGATAGGAAGGGGGAACTAAAATGACATAAAAGACAACTCAAAAATTTGTAGTTCAACAAAAACTTTTACTTTTCCTTTTAATGCAAAGTTTCACAATTATTGATTCACCCTGTACAATTATTATTCATACCATCGTATAGCATTTCTATAGGATTTTCAATGATGTATCACAAATAGGGATTTGTTATTTAAACTTTTTTAGTTTGATTAAGTGGAGCTTAGGGGGTTGATGGGGGTAAATTATGTCATTTTAGTTGCTCCTTTCTATCTTAGAAACGATTTTAAGCTTTTTTTGATATCATCTTTCGTTTGTGAGTTTTAAATTGTCACGTATATTTCAAGTTTCTATAGATAATCGGTTGGAAACACGAAATCACTGGAATTTTTGAATTTATAATTAATTTTTCGGCTGTTAGAAAGTATGGAGAACTTAAATAATATTAAATAACGATTAAAATGAACTGGGAAACGTAATTAGTAGATATTATTAGAGCGTGTATATTATGTTTTAAATGCAAAAGTTAGGAGACAATTTAAAAGTAGAGGAAAATGTATACAGTGTGACAATTTAATAGGGGTTTGTTATTTAAACTCTTTTAGTTGAATTAGGTGGGACTTAGGTGGTTGATGGGGGTGAGTTGTCTTTTATGTCATTTAAATTCCCCCTAGTTTAATAATTGTCACAGAAGGTATGAGAGCGTGTACATTATACATATACATACATATTTCAAAGTTTTTATACCTAACCGGTTTGAAAACAAGAAATATTGCTAAGAATTTTTAAATTTTGTATAAATTTTTCGGCTGTCAGAAAATAACTATTGTACATTTCACTCACTTGTCTTAAACCATCATCTGTAGTTATAAAGTTCAAATTTTTTACAAACAACGTAGTGTCTGGTTCTGGTTCTTCCTCTTCATCTTGTTCTTCATCATTATTTTCTTCATTTTCTAATTTCGTATTTCTTTCTTCCACATCTTGTTTGTTATTATCTAATTTTTCTTTAGATTCTCCTGAATTTACTATTTTAGGTTCTCTCAAGCTATTTTCTGGCGCCCATTCTAGGTACAATGGCATATTTTTGAACTTTGTGTAGGCCAATCGTGTGAAAGCTTTCCTGGCTTCAGACGGTTCCAAAAATTCGACAATAGCTAAAAGAAATCAATATGGAGATGTGTAAAAATCCCATTTTACTTAGTTATTTTTAAATAAAAAGTGTAGCTATATTTTTACTTCTACAACAAAGATTCCTATATTTAGAAAAAAGCATAAATAAATAAATTACCTGTTATTCCACTAGGAGGTAAAACAATTCTTCCAACTTCACCGTGTTTTTCAAAAATTTCTCTAATTTCTTTTGCCTCTGTCTTAGATGGTAAATTCTTTAATATTATTACAGTTTTTGACCGTTTTGTAGGTGCCTAAAAACCACAATAATGAATTTTTTCAAACACAGAAAATTATTTTGTGTCATTATAAGTAATTTTGCAGATGCCAGCACCACATCTTAAACAAATTTAAACGAAATCACCCCTGAGGTACTCCCTTACTAACAAAAAAGAATCATAGAAGAAGGTGGTAAAGAATTATCATTAAACATACATAAAAAAATGAAGAGTGAGGATTTTCTGATGGATCCAATTATCAGATTTTGACCAAATTTATATGGGACCATCCCGGAGGTACCCCCTTACTAACAAAAAAAGAATTATATAAATCGGACAAGGTGGTAAAGAATTATCGCTAAACATACATAAAAAATGAAAAATGAGGATTTTCTGATGGATCCAATTATCAGATTTTGATCAAATTTATATGGGACCACCCCTGAGGTAGCCCCTTACTAACAAAAAAAAGAATCATATAAATCGGATAAGGTGGTAAAGCATTATCGCTAAACATACATAAAAAATGAAAAATGAGAATTTTCTGAAAGATCCAATTATCAGATTTTGACCAAATTTATATGGGACCACCCCTGAGGTAGCCCCTTACTAACAAAAAAAGAATCATATAAATCGGACAAGGCAGTAAATAATTGTCGCTAAACATACATAAAAAATGAAGAGTAAGGATTTTCTAAAGGACCCAATTATCAGATTTTTACCAAATTTATATGGGACCACCCCTGAGGTACCCCCTTACTAACAAAAAAAGAATCTTATAAATCGGACAAGGTGGTAAAGAATTATCGCTAAACATACGTAAAAAATGAAGAGTGAGGACTTTCTGATGGATCCAATTATCAGATTTTGACCAAATTTATAAGGGACCACCCCTGAGGTAGTCCCTTACTAATAAAAAAAGAATCATATAAATCGGACAAGGTTGCAAATAATTATCGCTAAACATACATAAAAAATGAGGATTTTCTGATGGATCCAATTATCAGATTTTGATCAAATTTATATGGGACCACCCCTGAGGTAGCCCCTTACTAACAAAAAAAGAATCATATAAATCGGATAAGGTGGTAAAGCATTATCGCTAAACATACATAAAAAATGAAGATTGAGAACTTTCTGATGGACCCAATTATCAGATTGTGACCAAATTTATAAGGGACCACCCCTGAGGTAGCCCCTTACTAACAAAAAAAGAATCATATAAATCGGACAAGGTGGTAAATAATTATCGCTAAACATACGTAAAAAATGAAGAGTGAGAACTTTCTGATGGACCCAATTATCAGATTTTGACCAAATTTATAAGGGACCACCCCTGAGGTAGCCCCTTACTAACAAAAAAAGAATCATATAAATCGGACAAGGTGGTAAATATTTATCGCTAAACATACGTAAAAAATGAAGAGTGAGGACTTTCTGATGGACCCAATTATCAGATTTTGACCAAATTTATAAGGGACCACCCCTGAGGTAGCCCCTTACTAACAAAAAAAGAATCATATAAATCGGACAAGGTGGTAAATATTTATCGCTAAACATACGTAAAAAATGAAGAGTGAGGACTTTCTGATGGACCCAATTATCAGATTTTGACCAAATTTATAAGGGACCACCCCTGAGGTAGCCCCTTACTAACAAAAGAAGAATCATATAAATCGGACAAGGTGGTAAATAATGAACGCTAAACATACATAAAAAATGAAGAGGATTTTCTCATGGACCCAGTTATTAGATTTTGACCAAATTTATGTGGGACCACTCCTGAAGTGCCCCCTTTCTAAGAAAAAAAGAATCATTGAAATCGGACATCGTGTTAAAGAATTATCGCTGAATATACATAAAAAAAATATTTATATATATACCAACAAATTGAGAACCTCCTCCTTTTTTGGAGTTTCTGCAATTGGGTACATAATCTTCCTTTATAATTGATGGTATTAAAAATTAAAAAAACTTTAAAAAGTTGCTTACACTATTGAATGCATCCAAAATTACACCTTCCTCTTCCAAATACTTTCTAGTTTGGGCAACAATTTGAGTTTCTCCAAGAGCTAACCTAACGGCAGCGCTGCCTTTTCCTTCTGGTCCTATCACAGCTTTTTTAGTAGTTCCAAAACTGTCTGCAATTACTTCAGCTACAGCATCGTGTCCCACAAATAGCGAATTCCAGTTGTGTGAAGAACCAGCTTGGGCTTTTTGTTGGGCTGATTTCTTCTTTTTAAAATTAGATGATTCTGTATAAAAAAAATGATACATATTGCTAAAGTTTATAGACAACAGTAAATAGAAAGGATAAGAAGCAAAACAATATTAATTACAAAATTATGTAGATTTCCCATTTACCTTCTAAATCTTCATTATTGGAGTCCTTTGCCTTGCCAGGAAGTAAATGTAACATTCTTCCATGTAAAACGGAACCATCCAGTTCAGAATATGCTTTGACAGCATGTTCTGGCATTAAAAAGGTTACAGTTCCAAAACCTTTCATTTTTTTAGTATTTGTATCTACAGGTAAGTTCACTTCTGTTACTGGACCTAATAAATAACAAGTTTTAGGTTAACAAAGCACGACATATAGATTAAATAAAATATCTACCATATTTAGAAAACAATTTTTCAATATCCTCCTCTGTTGAGGTATAGGCCAAGTTTCTTAGAAAAATTCTACCAGATTCCCCTATACTTTCTTCATTTTTTAAAGCCTCTTCTTGATTAATCCATTTGCTTTTAAAAACATTTGTCTTACCCAATTCATCTTCTTTTTCCTGATTCTCATTTGTGTACAGTACAACAGAAATTTGTTTTCCTTCTGTAAATATTTTTATATTAATATTAAAATAATAAATATATCATTATTAACTTACTGATAAAACTCCTATTTTTTATTAATGCCTTATTAGCTAGTCTTTCAGCTTTGAATCCTACATACGCTATCCCATGAATATTTCTTGGAATTCTAATTGTATAACAAGATATTGGTTTAAAAAAATCTTTTATATCTTTTTTCTTGATGTTATAAGGTAAATCTCGAAGCTAAAAATATAAATAAGTAACACAAAATATACAAATATATTTCGATGGACCTACTTTTACAGTGTGCAATTTTATTTTCTCTTTTACTTTCTTTTTCATTTTTTCTCTTGGTTTACGTTCACCATCACCTTTCATGAGTTTCTTCATATACTCTATATCAGAAATTTGCTCATTTGCAATTTTTTGACTACTGATGGCATCTTCAGTTTCAGAATCTTTTTCTACAGTTTCTTCTTCGGTATTAGAGACTTGCTCTTCTTGGTATGCATTATCAGGATCCATATCATTTTCACTCGTTTTTGTGCTAATTTTATGCAGCTTTGCAGTTTCACTTGGGGCATGGACTTGTAAGAATTCTTCAAATAAGGGATCATCCTTGTACTATTAAAATATTATTTAAATAAAATTAAAAGTCGTAATTTAGGTAATAACACCTACCTTTTCCAATAATTGTTCAGCTTCATCTACTTTATCTTTCTTTTTCTTTTTTGTTTTAACTTGAATTGTTATTTCAGGTTCTGTTGCTTTAACTTTTTTGTTTATTTCACTGTCTGGTGCATATTTGCTCCATGATTTGGGCTTATTCTTGTCTCCTAATTAAAAATAACAAACATTTAGGTACAATGTAAAACGTAAATATTGAAAATATTCATTTAAACATACCTAGTGCACTACAGTTTTCAACAGTAATTTTGCTTGTGTTAATGAACGTATTATTAAGAGTTTTAATGGCTTCTTCAGCTTCATTTTCATTCTGATATCCGACAAATCCAAATTTTCTGAATTTTCCCTCAGGAGTATATTTAAGTTGTACGTCTGTAACAGTTCCCTTTTCACTGAATATCTGTTTTATGGTTTGCTCTGTCACCTATAATAAAACAACATAGTAATAAAGACTTAGATTAGAGATTAATATAAATACTTACATTTTTGGGAAGATTTTTCACAATTAAACGAGACATTTTATATAAAATATAAAAGGTTATGTTTATGTTTAACACATGTTTGCTGAAACGTCAATCAAATCAATGATATATATTTATATATATTGCTCACCGTTCATCCGTGTAATAAATGTTGTGTCTGAATGACCACATCCGATGCATTTTTTACACCTCAAGCGTTTGTTTATCCACATCGGACACATCTACTACATGTACAAATGCGTTTTTTTATCCGAGATGTAGCTGTCCATTTTTTACATCTCGATTTGAGACGAGGTGTTCGTTCCATGCCAAAAAGTAAGTGTTCTGTGAAGCCAAGTTTATCGATTTATCCTTTTTTTTTGTACTTGTAAATATAAAAGTGATTAGTTTGTTTAATTTTTGTTTAGATTTCAAATTTAGGATGATATGTAGTCTCAAAAGTCAAATTTAAAAATTATAAACTTCTAACTTGTCATTGTCATTTTATCACGTGATCAATAAAGTTTAGAGCGTTTGTTTATTACATCTACGTTCAGATCTAATTCTTTATCACGTGATAAAAAATTCACAACATCTCAGATGCATCTAATGTGGATATTCAAACGTGGCACATATGTAGGTGTTTTTATTATCTACTTTTTCGTGCTTTTTAGATTAATTACCTGCTACTTTTTCATTCCCATCCCCGTACCTTGCTTGGCAACCCTGTGGAGCATTACCGGAAGGTATATGCACCTACTTTACTTTTCCTACTATTGTAAGACGTGGAAATCAAGTTTTTTTATACACTTCTTTACACAGTCTATTATCTCGTCTAGCATTGTGTTCCGTTCTAACAAGAGAGCTTTTCCAGTTACGGAAACAAAAGCTGCTTCAGTATTCGAGTGATTTGAAAATTACTTCTAGTGTAGGGAAATGGAGAGTGAGCTGAATTACTCATTGGCGTAACAATAAAACGTAGCTATTTGTGCAGTGTTGGCCAGAACAGATGTATAACGAAACAATTATTAATGGTACACAGTGAAAACATGGTAAAAGCTAACTAAGAAGAGTACAATAGAGTTTATATATATATATTTTTTAGTAAGCTATAAATAAATTATAAATAAGCAGTTTTTAATAAATTAGACAATCGTTACAATATATAACCGAATTTATCAGTTTAGTAAGTTCAAGTAGAGACCTCGCTGTTAGCAGATTATTATTGTTAATATAAATTAGTTTGATAGTGCCATTTGACTTAAAGATGAGGTTTTCTTTTATTAATGGCACTGTAGGTGCAAAAACAACGTTTTTACGTTATATTGACGTTAGTCTGCTGATTGAAACGCTTGGATTTACTTGACTAATAGAATATAATAAATTCTGTCAATAATATTTCAACTTTTTGTATAAATATTTATCAGCTTCAAAGTTTCATTATATCGTATAAAATATGTACATTTTAAACACTTGTACCATTTATTTGTAAAACACAATTATCTCTGGCAACAATGTAGGTTGAGAAAATACGACTGTCGGTAATATTTTAAATTGAGGTGGATTTAATCCACGAAAGAGGCTGGATAACCAACGACTACAAGGACTCTCCAAGGACCTCGTTGTTCTCTGCGTTTCGCGCCACCATCACCCTTCTTTGTTAAATATTTGGATTTTTCATGTAGTACGAGAAGACAAAAACAATGAATATTTACTTATTTCGGTAAAAATTTATTTGTGCATATGTCTAGAGAGAGCCGTAAGACATAAAACTGGTTGATTACCAGATACTTTCCTCGTTTTTCAATTTATCATTACATTAAGAACCTTAATCTAATCCTGAAATGTATTGCTGGTCCCTGGGGAAACATTTTCATTTCAACCATGCACCTGCCTACGTAACTTAAACTTTGTTCCAAGACTGATAAGTATGATGATTAAATCCTTGGAGAATATTCTACCGGTGAATATTCAAATTTTGAGAACATACTTTAATATTTCAATAAAAAAACGGAGTGCTATGGTGAAAAATAGTGCAAAGTCGTTTTCTTAAAAAAATATTCAATAAGGCATATAAAAACAAATCTAAAAACAGTCACATCTTGATTGAACATTTATAAATAAGTAAGTAGGCTTTTCATTAATAATTTTAACAGCAACTCAAAACCTAGGTTGTATTTGCAATGTATTTCAAAAAAGTATTCACCAAGAAAATTCGTAATTATTAAAAAAAATTTAATGTTACACATATATTCATATGACCTCCCTCGTATATGGTACAAACATTTCATTATTTACGAGAGTTTTTGACTATTTAACAACATTTGTCAAAAATGAAAGTTTCTGAGACATAAAAAAAAGTTTTGTACCCCACTGTATATTATGAAATATAAATACAATTTTCGTATTATCTATCAGGAAACCTGTAGAATCCAAGAAAAGTTTAATAAAAAAATGTATTTTTTTTTATTAATATTTGATAACTTTCCAATCAAATTATTAAATGTCCTAAGTACGGTCCATCTAATCAAAAGTGTTTAGTTATCCTCCGTATGATCACCTTCAATTTGCAATCTATCTTAATTTACTCATAATTCAAATTAACTAAATATAAAACAACAAATTATGTAGGTATACCCTGTATAATAATTTTCTTATTTACATTCTCTATTTAAATATTTTATTTCAGTATTATCAATATACATCGCTATTATACCGGACATCGCAATATTAGACATTGCCTATTAGTAGAATCTAGAAGGCGAGTGACGTCACTGAGTTATTTCTCATTTCGACCAATCAGAAATTTGTTTTTTCTTTGACATTTGATTTTAAATTTTAAGCCATCTTACAGTGTTGCCAGTTTGTTACAATTGTAATAAATCTATTACATTTATGAAGGGTTTATCACATTATTACATATCCAATAAATCTATTACATTTTCACAAGCCTCCAACGATTGATGAACTTGAACCTAACCTAACCGTGTCTTGATTTTATATATTCCTAATATATTGTTAATTATTTCATACAACTAATACCATGTTTATTTGGCTAGATTCATCCCAAACATGTTTTCTTGAGCATGTCCAAAGGCTTAAAAAGTTTCTTTTATCATTGGACCTTGCAGTGGAGGCCGAATTTGTTTTTCCCTCTTTCTTTATTAAAGGTTTGTTTGTACAGAACCATTCTGAATTTATCTGCACTTGAGTAGTACGAAGAATAGAACAGTTAAATCGTACTACAGGTACAGTGTTACTCATGTAAGAATGGGGAACAAAAATATTCTCATGCTGCATAATGACAGTGGCGGCTCGTGGGGGTTCACAGTGACAGAATATAGGTATCAATACAGATGTATAAAAAACACTGACAGTTTTTTACCTATATCTGTACCGAGATCTACAGGGTGTTTCAAAAAGATTGGTCATAAATTATACCACATATTCTTGGGTCAAAAATAGGTCGATTAAACCGTACTTACCTATATACAAAAGTGCACCCAAAAATAGTTACAGGGTGTATAAATTAAAAATTTAAATAAATTTTTTTAACGTTGCTCTTAAACCGTTTGGCATTTTGTCATAAACTTTTATATGACATGTTAGAATACCATGACTAATAATACCGAGGAGGAGGCAATATTTTTTTCTTAATTTTTATAGGTTTTTGTAAGGAGTCGCCACTCTTTTCTCCACTCAACTTTTTTGTACTATAAAGTTTAATTACAAATGAAACGCCAATGGAATCCAACATCTATTTGAAAACTTTTTTGTCTCTTAGTATTTATTTGTAAAAAGTTTAGTTTAGACGATACAGCCATTTGAAATGACAACTTAAAAATATTCAATGGAAATTCTACGTATGAAAAATATCAAAATTATTTTTAAATTACAAACTAATGTCATCAAAATAAAAACATTTAATTTAACATTCTCCTCCTGTATACACTTACTACATAGTTTTAACAATGAAAATCGAATTTTGATATTTTTGCATACGTATAATTTACATTGAATATGTCAGTTTAAGTGGCTGTATCGTCTAAACCAAACATTTTACAAACAAATACTAGGAGACAAAAAAGTTTCCAAATATACATTGCATTTCAGTAGCGTTTGATTTTTAAATATAATATAAAATTTCATGAAAAAATGTCAAACGGTTTAAGAGCAATGTTAAAAAAATTCATTTAAATTTGTATCTTATACACCCTGTAACTATTTTTGGGTGCACTTTTGTATATAGGTAAGTACGGTTTAATCGACCTATTTTTGACCCAAGAATACGTGTTATAATTTATGAAATACCTTTTTGAAACACCCTGTATATTCTGCTACTGTGAACCCCCAAAATTTTGATCACGAGCCGCTCCTGATGAAAATAACTGAAAGATTGTCGTTGTTATTATCAATAAACATGTATAAATGTATATTAGAAACATAAAACATTATCAATATCAATACAATGAATCTATTTTTTATGTATAGTTCATTTTACGTTGGCTAAAATTTCTATTACATTTTCTTGAAATTTATTACAATTTTGAGAGTTCATCTATTACATTCATTGAGAGTGCTCTGGCAACATTGCCATCTTATCTTGTCAAATCTTATGCAAATCTTGTGCGCGTCTCTACGATTCAAACGGGAGCTTCTTGTTAACTTTTAATTAAAAACTATATTTCTATTGTGAATAATAATAATAATAATATCGTGTGTTTTATCCAGAAAGCAAAAGTTTAACGAGGTATGTATAAGTTATTGTATTTGTAACTTTCAAAACTGCTAAGTGCAGGGTTGATTTTTGATATCACTGTACTAGCGAGGGACGCTATGAATGCTTTCTGCAAACTATTTGATTATATTTCGAAATTGATATATGATTTTACTTCTATTAGGTATAGCTATATTCCTATTTCAAAAATAATAGTAGGTACGTTATTTATTTAGTTCAATTTACCTAAGAAATAATTTTCAATTCCTATCGAGTCTTCTCTGACTCTACCTGTGATTTTTCAAGGACATATTAGGTAGAAGTTATTGTGCAATGACATAATGGTGATAATTTGATGTGTTTTTTCTCATCTAGTCCAGGTTTAAGAGAATTAATTAATAATTAATACAAAAGGTAAGATTTACTATAGTTTTTTTGAAATTTTATTATAGGTAGGTATGTTTCTATAATAACAAAAATAGTACCTAGATATACCTATAATTTTTACTTCG